ATACTAATTGTCTGAAATTTGATGCGTAGACTGACGTGGAGTATGCTCCTTGTCATAGCGATCGAATATTTATTGTAGCCCATCGCACCTTATTATGTTGGCCAAATGCTTCCCCAAACGCCTCCAAAAAAGTTTTGAAGTTGTTCAAAATTCACGATGTTTTTTCAAGCAAAGGAGCAAATCATGATAGAGCTTATCCCATGAGCAAAGTTCCAACCAGTCCAATATGTGACTCCTCCATTGGATAGCGTTCGGATTGTAAAGCTGTTATCAATCTAATTTGATTGACAAAACCTTGAAACTTGGAACGCATACTATTGAACTTGTTTGAAAGGCTAATTCGAGACTCCTTTCATTGTAAGATCAATGGTCCTTGTTGAACTAGAGGCAAAGCTGCTTCTCTTGGTGCTGAAGCTTGAGGCTAGTGAATCCTTGATTGTGCTATCTTGGATGCTCCATCATTATGAAGTCTTGCAATGATTCCTTCAATCTCTACAGTTCTCTGTGATAACGTAGCAAGAATATTCATAATGACGTCTAACTTAGACTCCAAACTTTCAGTCATACTAATATATTCACCTCCGGCTATTCTAAGAGAAGGAAAGAAATGACTCTACAAGAAGGCAGTATTGGTTTAGGAGAGGGTACTCCACAATCTCTAAAATGCCTTAAAACTTTCAAGAAGAGGGATAATCCACTCTCTCCAAGAAAGATAAGACTCCGATATTATAATAGAAGAAATATCAATTTAAAAGAGGGTAATCCGCAACCTATAAATTACCAGCACCTTCAAGCAGAGGGATAATCCACACTCTAATTAGAAGGAACTAGCTCTGATATGAAAGATGAGTGCAGTCTCGACAAACTGTCAGAAATTTAGAATACTAACTGGAAATCTAAACAAGAAGTTTAAGAAGAATCGACAAGAATTAGATTAATCAAATGAATAGAAGAACAATATTAGAGAGGTGAGCTAGAGCTCCAAGAGGTGTGTTGTCGAGATTGAGGATTTCCACAGTCTCGGCTTCTATATATACTACAAGCTAGGAAGCTTCTTAAGTAGCTTCTACAAACTAGGAAGCTTCTCAAGCAGCTTCTACGAGCTTAAAAACTTCTCAAGTAGCTTCTATAAACTACAAAGCTTCTCTAGAACCTTCTAGAATCTTCTACAATTTTCTAGTATATATCTTCGACATTAGGGCTAGCACTCTTTGCTAGTTTGTAAAATTGGTGTCATATCTATAATATAAAATTTGGTAGTACTTGGTTAATTAGATGTGCTAAGCATATGTGAAAGTTTGTAAAAATCTAATAGTGTAGTTGAGAAATAATTGGATTTTGATACAAGAAGGTATTGGAAGTTGGTAGTTTGGAATTGAGTAGGGTTTCTATGATCTCTAAAGATCTACCAATTGAATTAAGGTGAAATTTGGCATGATATTAGAAGGCTTAAATATCAAGCTACAAACCAATTTTGTATTGAAGTTAATAGTTGGAGAAAGAGAAATCACTATTAAAACATTTGCATCAACTTTCAAGTTGGTGGCTAAGTAATATTATTGCTATTTTTGGATGTTTTATCACAATTTGTTAATTGGATTGAAGTGAATTCTTTTCGAACATATAGAAGACTTATAGTGGCATTTTTTTGCTAAATTTTGCTCTAAGTGGATGGTTAAATTAGCAGCTACAGCTTGCTAAATCTTACTGATTAGGATTAAGATTTTTAAAGAAAATTCAAAATTACCTAATTATGAAAGTAACAAGATAATTGGAGTTTATGTATAGTTAAGATTATTAAGAAGAGTGTTTTGAGTACTTTATGTTGGATTTAAGTACTTTTTAATTAAAATTAAAATTATATTTTATTTTATAAAGATGAAACATATTAGGATTCTTGGATACTTATAAAACTCAATCTCACCTTCCACAGCCAGATGCCTAGTGCATTTTTAAACAAGATGACAAATAATATAATAATGGGTAGTAAATTTGTCAGAGTGATGGATAAATCAACTAGTAATGAAGATGAACTAAGAAGCATAAGGACTTAGAGAGACTTGAGCAGAAGTAGTAACCATCAAGTGAGGGCATGAGGATTAGATATTGCTCATATAGGTGAGATGAATTGAAGCTGAAGAATCATGGGAGATTGTGGTCTCAAGTAGATAGAGATTGTTTGTATGAGGACAATAAATCAATATTATGTCATCACAATCAAGTAAGCAATATTTTTGATTTTTAATGAATAATCCTCCATTATGCTTGTCATATTTTCTTGCAAATAATACGTTTTTGTAAAGATTTGATATATAGAGAGTGTTTTTAAGTTAGAAGACATGCCTATTTGTTAATCATATTTCAATTATACCTTTATCATAGATTAGTAATATTATTTTATGTCCAAGTTGCACTTTATTGTTGAAAAGAGAAAGGAATTCAAAGTCAAGAAAAAGATGATTTGCATGAGATTAATGGTGAGTGGCTCCCATATCAACAACTCAATTATTTTTTTTGATTTTATTAAGTTTGGAAGATCTTCCAAGCAATAAGCTTAGATGTAATAGAGATTTGCATAAAAGAAAGAAAGAAATTCTTCAACATCTTCTATTTTTTAGTTTGGTTTTGATTTTTTAGATAGATGCTATGTTAAGACAATATTTGCAACAACTTTGTTTTTATTTTTAAACAATTGGAGCCCCAATGTCCCATCTTCTTGTAATGAGAACATGAAGTTGTTGGTTTAGTTTTGACTTTAGTAAATTTGAAGTCTCTTGTGGTATTTTTTTATTGTAGGATGGAATTGCCACTTGTCTTTTACTTTGTAACCTACAAAGAGAGCTTGAGTTTCTAAAGAGGAGCCTTTCATGGCTATTTCTTCTTAGAAAAAAATTAAAAATAATATTTGAAGGATGGCAATTCTAATAGTTTTTAATATTTGTATAATAGTGCTATATTGAGATGATATAGATCTTATTAAAGTGAAAACTTCTATTTGGGATAGAATTATCATTTTTGTAGAATGACATTGTTAAAAAAGTGTTCTAAAATTATGCTAATGTTATGTGACAAATTTTCCTACTTGTATTTTTTGTGTCATAAACCTCTCTTGTAAGTGGACTTGAGTTACTATATCACTTGCTAAATATATAGTTTTGAGGGCTAACCATACTTTATTTGTAAATTGACATACTCCAACATGGAAGAAGATAGTGTTATTTATACAATTCCAACTGGTGATAAAAGAAACTTGATCTTTCTTTTTTCATGTAAGTATTATTGCTTAATTTGTTGGAGTGGACTTTATTGTAGCATTTGTGACTTGCAGTGGTATTGGTTCTTTGTCTTTGCTACACAAAATTTTTTACATGTCTTCAATTTTGAATTTTATTTGTATCTTCTTTCTCCAAATTAAGTATCAAGTGCCATTGAACTTTGACCAATTCTTAGTTGTAAGGCTATTTGTAGCCATGTTGTGCAGAAAAAAAGACTACCAATGCCATAGTTTCTGTGAAGAAGGTCTTCAATATAACCTCTTTTCTGTTTTTAATAAGCTTGTTTATTTCTTTTCTGAAATTTCAATAAAAATTTCTCAAAAAAATAAGCTGTGATATCATATTGAAACTTAGATATGTAAGGTTAATAAATGTAATATAAGTTCTATATAAGTAAATAAAACATATATTATATGTATATATTTGAAATGTGCCTGATACATGAGGCTTTATGCCATTGAAGTAGGTGCACCTAGGGCAGTTGCACCCATCCATATGAATGTAACCCTTTTATTTTGTGGACCATCAATTTAAGTGCTTTTTCTAATAGGTGCATTGTCTGAAGTGAACCAACTGTGGTAGTGGCCCCATGATAGAGTAGTTTAGATGGCCCCTTGGGAGCTAGTGAATATGCAATGGCCACATTGCTTCCAGTTCTGAATTGGGATGCTCTGTTATTTGAAACAAATTCTACATCAAGTAGCATCAAACTTAGGAGGTGGGGAGAGAGTTATGCCAGCCTTGAAATATTAGAAAACCCAGAGTTAGGTAGAGAAGTGGATTTAGTTCAAGTAGGATGTGAATCTGGGTCTAGGCCTGAACTGAACCAATCCTCCATTTGTGAAAAAAGCCACCAGTGATGTATATATTGAGATTATTAGATACCAATGAATTCCTGTATTAAGGCTTCCATGCCCCAAGACGACTATTTCATATAATTTATTATGATACATGAAAAATGGGTTATCAATTCAGTGGATGTCAATGTAAACACCATGTATGCATAAGTTGCATGTAATCATGTGTCCAATACGGGAAGATGCGATGCCAATAAAAAATAAATATGAACAGTCGATGCAAGACCAGCATGCAGTCACCTACACGACTGCCATCGGACTTGACCATGCATTCAGGGAGCATGTCTTGCACTTCTCAGAGTCTAATCCAATTCTCACCGAAGTGCAGCCTCTTCTTCGCTCGGCTTCGGCCTCACTGACATATTTCCACGGATCTTGTGTTAAGCTACCGTCATTTACTTCTCGTATTAATTGATGTTAGGTGTTGATATCCAGAGCTACCAATCGACAGAATGCTCGCTTGCTGAATAAAATATTTAATCGGATGTGCAGAAGCAGCGTTATCGGGATTGGAGCTCCTACTGCTGCGTTCAGGTTCTAGTTGATGTTGTGCCAAAGATCTTTACGAGGCAAACGGTCATGTGCGTGAATGAGAGATAGCCATCGATTATCTGTTCGGAGATTTACCATGCCTTATCACATCGTGGCCCGCACCTCGCATAACTGGGAGAGGGGAGGCGGACTTGTCCATCGCTTCCATAATGCCTACATCTGCTGCACCAAAGCGCTATGTTCCTGATGAGAGATTTTGAGTGCACTTGCAAGGTTTGTGTGAAGTTGAGATAGTTCCGCATGGTTATTCGTAAACATGACGTCCTCACCGTTATATTTTTACAATTTTATGCATTCATTATCAGCTTTACCAGGATTTGTGATACTCTTGCAAACTTTTGAGCATCTCTGGGAATGTTAAGAAATACAATTACATCGAGGGTACTGGAACAAAAACTAATTTTCAGCTTGAAAAATCAGGCTACGACTTCAACCCATAGGTCATGATTCAAGGGTCGTGTAAAAGCTAGACACTACTGCCCAGACAGATTTCGGCAACATTGTAACAAATGTTACGGTAGTGGCCATGGTGGGATATTGTAGCAGCTCTAACAGTAAAGCGCCCCATGAAGAATTCAAGGGCTTCGTGCACCTGCATTCTGATGAAATAAGCTGAAGAATGTGCAAACCACTTTAAATCGGATCAGAATAACTATTACTGCACTCCAGGATATTGATGCTCTACCTACCTTCTTGCTATCACCTTAAGTGATTGGAAGCAGCGTGGGATTCTGAACAGATGCAACACAAGCAAGAATAGTTGGAGTCTATCAAGGACACGGAGCACACAAGGAGCAGAGAAATTGGCTAAAAAGACTTGAAAGATGTACAAGATGAAACCATAATACTAAAATGTCAAGAATAGTACAAAATGTATCATGTGTGAGCTTTCGTGCCAGACTAACTCAATTACAAAGGGATGCCTGGGCCAGGAAAGTCGGGCACTCCACCCGGCACGTCGCCAGGTGTGGGAGGGCCAGGGGGGCTGCCAGGACCAGGGCCGGGGCCTGGCGTTGGCATGGGAGTCGGGGTGTCGCCTGGAAATGGAGGTGGGGCTGGCCCTGGAATTCCTGATGGCCCTGGTGATGGAGTCTGCGGAGGAGTCACTGGTGGTGGCAAGGGCGCTTCCCCTGGGGGCCTAATCTGTACATTCGGAATCGGAATAGAAGGCGCTGCGTCTGGCGGCAGCACAGGCTGGGACTGAGGGGGAGGAGTGGGCACAGGCACACCAGGTGGTGGGATAATGGCGGAATTCGGAGGTCGGATGGGTGGGCCTCGAGGGACTTCATCGCTGACGGTGAACATCGTCATCCTGGGGTTGAACTCAGGTGGCACTTGCGACGGAGAAGGAAATTCTGATGGCGATGGTGAAATACCAGGTGAAGGCGAAGGAGATGGCAGCTCTACTGGCACCGAAGGGACGGGCATCTCCGAAGGTCGGGAAGAGGGAAGCTCTGAAGGACCTGGAATTGGGAACTCTGGACCTTTGGTTGGAGGTTCCATCTCAGGAAATGGAGATGGTGGTACCTCGGTGGGGACTTCAGGAACTTTAGTGCCGGGAGAGCTTGGATCTGGAGCTTCTGAAGGGGCGGTGTCGGGACGAAACTCTGGAAATGTGACCGGAGTAGGAGACTCGGAGGGAGTAGGTAGACTTGGGTCCGGCACCGATGGCTGCGGGTCGATGGAAGGTGTCACATCTGGGTTGGGGTCGAGCTGTGGCCGAATGACTGAGGATACCTGCCTCCTTGTATCGGTATAAATCAATGCTGAAGACGGTCGTTGGGACGAGAAATGGACAGGGACGAAGGGTTGGAAGTCATATAAACAAACTGGCTTAAGCAAGGGCGCAGCTGATGATGTCCGCGGTTCGCAAGGTCTTGTAGCCACGACAGCCTTAGCCAATACGTTACCACATCTTCTTGAGCTGACCTTGTGCCTGCCAAATCTCCGCCCTGCCTTTGAGGTTGAGGTTGCAGATTTCTTAGCCGCAATAAATTCAGAACATGGAGCTGGTAGTTGCTTCCACAGAATTGTTTGGGTGGTGCATACTCTGCCAATCGCAAATATTCAATCCCGTCAATCCTACAAACCATTTCCTCCAAAAACTGCAAGAGTCTCGTTACACAAGATATTGCAAATTCATCTCTAATTGCATGTGGTGTGGGAGAGATTTGGCGAATCCCAGGGTGTAAGTAACAACAGACCATAAATTATCCGTTCAGTTTTTCGCAATGCAGGGAAGCGGTGAAAAGCACAGATATCTTTCGAGAAAATGAGGGAAAGTTCTATCAACACCTAGTTAATCCAGCAATCTTTCAATTCTTGGAAAGTACACCTCATCTGGTGGCAATTTCTAATGAAGACACATCAAGATTTCAACGGTAAAACTGAAAAATAAAAAAATAAAAAAAAAATTCCCTTGGAAAAGCTCTTGTTGTGTGAAACCCACAATGTACAACGCTAAATTCGTGACAAAGAGGCTAAATTCACGAAGTGAAGCAAAGTCACGAGCTGCCCTTTCTATTCCTTGCTATTCACTATTCTAGTTTAAGCCCCGAATTATACGAGCCGACAAGTGAGTCTGTTATTACCATCACATTCCAACTCGCTGCACAAGATTCATAAACAAAATTGACTTCGCATGCGCAAGGCGTAGGGAACAGGACCATACCTCAGGGATGCCATGGCTAAATCAAAGTCTGCAAGCAGTGGGGCACATGAGGGCTTCGTAACTTAGAATGGCGAGTGTTAATCTTGAAGCCAGAAGAATAGCCGCCTGAACAACGAAAATAATATGAAGCAGATGTAGAAGAGAAATACAACAGTCCAATTGGGCAGGAGCACAATGCGAGCGAGCACTTGCGAAGGAGAAGGAAATGGAAGGGAGTGGAGGGTGACGAGGAAACGATAAAGTGGGGTATACATGTGACAAGTGGAGCAAGCTCTTCGTATCCAAGTGGTGCTCATCCCTCATGTCTCGTATTCCCCACCGTGGCAGACGCACTGAGGGTCGCATAGCAATTCCATTCATTTCTCGATCGCAGGGTCACTCACGGTATCGACCATTAGATTCAACAACAGTTTGAACGGGTGTAAAGAGACTTTTCAGTCATCTCACAACTGACTAATGAATTCGCAGAGATAATAACCGACCTTAAACTGCTTCTGTGGTATCATAGACACCTTGAAGCTACTTGGGCGAGTCTGGTTTCTTCAAAATCATTCATTTGGATTGAAATAGACTACGCATTTTCGTTGCATGGGATCTGAACTTCGAAGGCAGATTTCATTTGTGTCAAATTCGCCAGTTTAGGCATCAAGAGGAGAGGAATGTTTGTTACGAAGGCATTACCATTTTGGAAACACCTATTCAATGGCAGTAGCCCTCTGTGCAGGTGAATGCTGGGCAGTCAACAAATTGCCAACTAACTACTATTTGTCTAGTTCAATCGTGAACGAATTAGACTGAAAAATTACTGACTATCAAAAAAACTACAGTCGCTTCGTTTGAACCAACACTCTATGTAGCATGACATTTTTTAGCCAGTTTCAGCGCATATTGATCATCTAGGATACATTTCCATATCTGTCTTCGTGCGGGTTTCGCTCAGCTGAATCAGAGGAGCCGATTCTTTTCCGCGAAAGCCACTTGAGTTTGTTAAGAACGATGAGCTGGTTGAATGTGACGGTGTTTCGGAGTGCATCAAACCCACCATAAACCCTGGGCCTGAAGTGATGGGAGGAAGTTCTATGTCGCCCAGCAACATGGCTACTACACGAGTCATGCATGGCCGGGTTGACGCTACCGCTTGTGTGCACAACAGTGCCACATGAAGAACTCTCAGAACCTCGTCTTCCACGTACGTATCCAAGAGTTTTCCATCCATCACGTATAATAAGTTATCCTCCGCTTCAAGTTTCCAAGCCTGAACACAAGAAGAAGATATTGAATCATGTCCACCACTATAATCAGTCACAATGATGACTGGTAGTGATCAGACTTGCAGTTTTATCAGCTTTCGGTAATTCACCCAGAGAATTGGCAAAATGATAGCAGTGGGAGGAGGATTGATAAACGTACCCATTCGAGAAGGTATGCTTGCTCTCCACGAATGTCAGTCCTAATGTTGAACCTTCCGCTCACTAGTTCAAGCAACACAATGCCGTAACTAAACACATCTGCCTTCTCTGTCAACTGACCCAGTAATGCGTACTCTGGTGCCACATAACCCCTTCCCAGCACGCACCAAACATATGCCAATATTAGTTCATTGGAAGTTATGTCAAAGAGCATTCCAAGAGAAAAAAGCTTACATTGAATAAACGGACTCTTTACTCTGGAAAGGCAGCAACTATGATTAAGCATTTCGAGAGCTACAGAGAGGATACGCGTGACTGTGCTTACAGTGTTCCCGCAACTCGAGTGCTGACATGACTTTGGTGATCCTCAAATAAGCGAGCCATTCCGAAGTCGGCTATCTTGGGGTTGAAGTTCCGGTCCAAGAGAATGTTGCTCGCCTTGATGTCCCGATGCACAATACGTGCCTCTGACTCCTCGTGCAGGTATGCTAACCCTCGCGCGGTTCCTAGAGCGATGATAAATCTTGTTGGCCAATCCATGGGCATCGCTCTTGCTCCTGCATTGAACGTGAAAGCGTGAGCCACATTTCTGGCATGGTCCTCAAAACCCTAATCTGAAGGATCTGACGAGGAAAACGATGGCAGCATACACGAACGCACCGAACAAAGTCTGATGGAGGCTCTTATTTTCCATGAACTCATAGACCAAGATGCGATGGTCTCGCTCCAGACAGCATCCTTTCAACTTCACGAGACTGCGGTGTTGCACAGCTGTGATTAGTGCGGCTTCGTTCAGAAACTCATGCTTCCCCTGGTAAGACTTGGCAGACAACGTCTTCACGGCAACTTCCGTCCCATCCGCTAGTACTCCCTACAGCGCACGAAACAAAGGAGCGTAAACATGAGCATTTGTGGGCACTCAAACCAGATAATTTTCCGAAACACATATGATGGGATGCAGAGCGCAATGTACTTTGTATACGACTCCATAGCCTCCTTCGCCAAGTTTGTTGCCTGGATCGAATGACCTTGTTGCTGCTTTGAGTTCAGCGTAGCTAAAGAGGTTCGGTTGCACTTGGAATTTTTGAATCTCTGCACCCAATCGAAGAAGTAAAGTGGTTTATGATCCATTATTGATTAACCAAACTCTTCAAACCAATCGCTCTGATAAACTACCTTCCAAGATGGCGAGTAGGAACAGGATTATGCAGAATTAAATCACAGCTTGGTCCAATTAGTAAACGCTACACACCAAGTTGATCCTCAAGGCGTAATGTTGTCCTGTTCTTTCTCCGTCGCACCACAAGCCCGCAAATACAGCATAAAACCAAGATCACCAAAACGATTGCTGCTACAGTGAGGCCAACAATCAAACCCACTGATGAACCCTTGCTATTCTTTCCCCCTGAAACTTGAGTTTGGCCTCCGCTCAACACATTATCAACAGAGATGGCTGACAAAAGAGGACCAAATGACCAATTCGAAGGTTGCGGGAGGCAGCAGGTGCCCTTCCCTGCGTAGAACAAATGAATGTCCAGCACTCCAGTAGTCACCGCGACTTGGAATTTCTCTTCATGCGCCACGAATGATCCTCCTGCCGTCTCACCTATGTCGAAATCTTTCTTCATCAACTGCCCCTGGAACATAATATGAACACGATCACAGTATAAGGTAATCGATCTGTTCAAAAGATATGGGCTTGTGATTGCCTAACTTCAGTAGTGAGCAACGGAAAGGAATTTTGTTACCTGCAAGTATATATCAAAAACTCGTCGTGCAAGATTGTCGTCACGTGTATACACTATCTCAGCGAAGGATAGAACCACGTTGTAGTCTCCATTTCGCAGCTGGGTAGCGTAGTACCTGAGGGACCCAAGCGACGTCCGTGCCGTTGCGTAAACTGTTTGATCCGCCGTTCCCGAAACAGGAGTACCTGATTTTACAAGGCTAGTGAAGCTAGCGCCTGGCACAAATCCTGTGCTACTCGCTGCCCAATGTTTTTTTGCAGCGAAGGCTGTTGACCCCAGTGTTGCCGTATCCTCTTCGTATTTTCCATGCACTGAACCCCCCACATTCACTGCCAAGCTGGTGACTGTAGCCAGCCCGCTTCGCACATTAGTCCCAAAAACTAAATTCCAATCACTTGCAGTTGAAAGAAACTTAGCACAGCAGTCATTCTGTCCTTTGGATAGCATCACACAGACCCATTGGTGTTCGGCATCTATATTTGCAAGCAACGAGAATCTCACCATTTCCAAGAGCAGAAATTACGCATGGAGTTTTTTGGTTCTGGCAGTTTAGCAGGGATAATCTGCACAAAGAACATTCCTGATGAATAAAGATTATGATAGATTTATCTGGGTAGTCGAGGTTCTTGTGGTGAAATTAGAATTCAATACTTTACTGCAAGCCCCGCATCAGCCTCAGGGAAAACATCAATGTTTGCGCCCAATTGCAGTCAGGTGCAGATCTAACAAGAATAATGAAAATCGTTTCATCGTAAAGGGATTTGATACCAGCTGATGAATGGAAAGAAAGATGACAATGGACTTTACAAAACATAAGCCCATCAATACGTGAAGAAAGCATTGCACCCATCCCAATGCAAATTCACAACACAGTTTTGGAAACATGAGCATCAAATTTATGAGGATGACTTTGCTTACTGAGGTTGAACTTGCGAGTTTACAGCAGTAATCGTCGAAAAATAATTAGAACCTAGTATCCTGTAATTCAAAATAACCATGCAAGGCAATCAATTGTATTTCCTTCGAAAAGGACAGCACAATCTAGCATACATTTACGCTAACACACACACACACACATATCTATATATATATATATATATATATATATTCAGCTAGATTGATACATAGATGGCTAGCTAGATTTGTGAGCTGTAAAACTACGAATATGAGGTCGGCTTTGAAACCGAGAGCCGAGTTGGTGGCGTACGTTGTAACTGTGGGTTTGTCAACCCATGATGGAAGAGTACCATTGAGAAAATTATACGACACATCCCTGAAAATTATACAAAACAACCACACAAGTTTTAGATTTCATGATCAATAGACCTCGTTGATTGGCTGACACAACTTACTCTGGTTCAATATTACTTTTTAAAACTTAGCGCCTTCAAACGGAAGTGTTCTTACACTTCTGTCAAGAAACTCAGTGCCCCAAGACCCTCGGGTAGACGACCTGTCAACGAGTTGCTTCCAAGGTACCTAGATACAGACCACACAATTTCTGAGTAAGAGCGATGAACCGCATTATAGCTTGACAACCGCGTCATTCTCGATGTGGTGCAAATGAATAAGAATTCTTTTAAGCAAGCCATTAGGATTATATACTCGTTCGAAGGCTCCGCCAAGTGATAGTGGAGTTGTGAACATCAACAATCGCAGGAGAGGTGCGGGAGTTTACAAGGTCTTCAAACTGGTGATTTCTGACAGCTGTGACGGTATTTCGCCTGATAAATTGTTGAAACTCAAATCTCTGCAGTGACGGAAAAGATTGCATCGTAAATAGACTAATCTCTTGCAGCAAGAAAAGATTGGCGATAAGGGTCATAATATACTCAAGTAGATGACTCAATCTGCTTGCGACACTAGAGGTGTTCCATGCTATATCAAGCATTAATGAAGGATGGCTGACTAACAGATATGACCGTGATGCTTACAAGTACTGCAGTTTTGACAGCATGTTTATTGTGCTGGGGATTGATCCAGTAAGTCGGCAATTTCGCAAATACCTGCACCAAGTACAGATACCAGTGAAGGAAGTAAGAAGTTATCCAATGAAGCAGTAGACATGCTTAAAAGACCAGAACAATCCTTCGCTTCACAACCTCTAAAACTGCGAGTTGTTTGTAAGTTTGAGGAACTTACAATACAGATAAATTCGACAGAGGTGTTGTAAATGTGGCTGGCAACGCTTTCCCTTCCGACAATTCGCCAATGTATCTGATGTGGAAGAAATTCCACAAAATTCTAAGATCACACAGGTTTATGACTTGCTATAGTTGAAGGACTGCTTCGATCTTCAAGCCGATCAGATCTTCGCAAATGTTGTCTCCACCATTCACAACGCTCAAGAATATAAATAACAAACAATAGAAACCATGATGGTTCAACACAGGCTTCACGAATAAGCAGTGAAAGGGCGATGGAGCTCACATTGCTTCTATGGAGGGAGAATTGAACAAACTGCTTGGAATAGGACCCTGTAGAAGTGGATTTCCATGAATTCTTCTGGAAGACAAGAACAGATAATACCATGGGTGAGGTTCGAGGGCCCAATACTGACACGAATGGGCCTGCAAGGAGATGAGTGTTTTTGGACCCTGCACTTCAAAACGGGCAAAACATCTTCACTTACACTTCAAGAAGCCCTGTGAAGTTCCCAAACACATCAGGTATTGGACCTGAAAGATTGTTGTCCGACAGCCATCTGCAGCCATGGAAATCAAACTATCAAAACAAATCAACGGATTCATGGCCACACAGCCAACTAGCCTGCCTAGCCTCTAAATGGGTTAGGTCATCCCTGCAGATTGTCGGTCTCGAACGTACTATTTTACAGATATACTATTTGGACACTTGGAGCTTGAGACTCATTTGGCGAAAGTAGTCCTACTTACAACTGTCTCACGGTTTGAATGGTGCCAATCTCGGAAGGGATTGTTCCATTCAGTTGATTACTGTCCAAATGCCTGCAAACGGGAAAACAAAAGATCCGAATTAAGAATAGGGAATCAAGCGCGTTGAACCTTCGTTTGTAAGTAAAGCTCAACGACGACAATGTCTGCCATTCAGAGAAAATTAGTGATTGTGTTCTGCTGAACAGCATCGATTCAATCATTGCACTATGTTTCAAGCTGTTCTCAACTCACAATAGTTGTAGAGCTTGCAGATTGCCAAGCTCACGAGGAATCGTCCCCGAGAAACCGTTTGTGCCGAGCGACCTGTGACAGCGGGTAGAATTAAATAGCTCTATTCAGAGATAGCAAAACAACGTCCATTTTTTTAGCTGTCACTTCTGAAAGGTACATTACCAACCATACACGCTGGTTTTAATTACAAATATAGAAAACTTCCCTACAGTTTCAACACAAATTCAATCCATTCTCCGCTCACGAAAAACGGCGAGGCTTGACTTGGAAGGGGGTAATATGGCTTACAGAGAATTCAATCTCGTGAGCAGTCCAATTTCCGGAGGAATCGGGCCAGTCATATTGTTATTGTACAATTGCCTGCGCCACAAAGTCAACAACATCATCAGAATAAGCTTCTAGCCCCAACGAAAGCCAATAAAGTAGAGGTCAGTGTCCCGCATAGATATCTACAGTAATGATAGAAGTGGAGAGTTAATGTCTCACAAAGAAGTCAAGTACGTGAGTTTCGTGAGGTCTTTTGGGAACGGCCCTTCCATTCCTGCCATGGAGAAATCTCTGCAAATAGCACAGTACAAGTGTCACACACACTGTGTGGCATGCAGCTTTGATCACTCAACTAATAGCTGCTTCGGTGGACTCGTTGTCGCGAAGTTAGGTTTTCAGGTTAGTGCAAGCGGGCAAAGAGGAGCTGAATTGCTCATGTGAGGAGAGCCCTTACATTCGCGTGATACGGCAAAGAGTGTTGGGCTGGCCAGTGTTGTCTGCAAAGTAGCAGTCGCACTTAACCTTCTGGGGGTTCCATGTCGTGCAAGGGTCCGAATCCGGAAACACCAAGTTTTCCAGATGGTAAGACAGAGCGACGTTCTTAATAAGCGCAGCTGCGCAAATCATTAGCACAAAATTAGTTTCTTCACTCTCGTCATATATAACGACCAACCCACAACGTCTTATAAAATTGTTGAGCTAGGGAAGTGGAATGGTTTGGAAGCTTGTCTCAAATATATCCCAGAATACAAAAAATCGTCTATGTAGTTCTATGATGTGTTAAGGTTTTGAAGTTACATTCAAGGCAGAATTTAAAATTTTACAAAACAAAGGTGATCCCTGAAAGCTATCGATGATACTATCCCGAGTCCATGCCTGATTTTAATCAATAATTTGGAGTAAGTTTTTCGGTGCGTCATACGTGAAATAGATTGCAATTACTCGTCATCCCCAATCATCCAGTCCCATCGAATCTTTTTGACACATTATATCGATTCCATGAAAGTGTGAACTTCGTCTTTGCATCAAATTATTCGGACGATTTCAGATTGCTGCCTAGGGTGGATAATCGCGAGGTCCACGCAAAAGAGCTGACAATTCCACACTGAACATCATAAATACCTTCCGTAGGATCGAGAATAGCGGTGCTTTGTGATTCTCCAGCGGCGCAATAATTCAACACCAGAAGCGTAATGATCGACACTGGACCAAAAAATCTGTGGCGCCTTGTTGTTCGATGCGGCTCCATATTTAACACTGCACCTGAATCCTCTGCAGACTATCCAAATTTCATTTCCCCCGCTGCCCCCAAGAGCCTGAGCAAACAGGTAATCCAATTTGCACACACGGCAGTTAAGGTACGAATCTAAGACCTGTTGAAGCAAGCTATGAGCGACTATGTAAACTGATGGGAGGTGCATAATTTTGGCATTGTTTCGTGGATCAAAGCCAGAAGAAGCCACGGTGTTCTGTGCAAAACAGCATGGACTTCATAAGCACATGAAAGTTGCGACGCAGTCACATAATTAGCTACGATCATTCGAACCAGACGACGTTCGAACCTCACGAACCACGATCCTATTCAAAGCCTAGCTGTGTAGAGAAGGCATGCAATTTCCTCTGGGGAGTACAAAGTGGTGACCGAGTGTGACGCGCACGTAGCTAGACACTCTGTAATCAAAAAGACCTTCTCGATACGCTTCGTTTCTATACCACGAACGATTACTACCTTTCGTTCTGTATCACATAGCTACCCAGTGTGACCAGTATTACATATAATTATATGTCGATTGCACCGCTATAAATGCAAGTTCATTTTATGCTCAATCATCGACATCTAGAGCACCAGTGGAGACGCTGACAGCTCTCTAAAGAAGTGGTCATTTTTCTAATCGACTGGGCAACTGCGAAGCTAGCCCACGTCGTCGATTCCCGTAGACATGAGTGTAAAGTTACCTAAGGATCCTCGAAGAATCACCAGATTGTTGATCAGATATTCATTTTCTCCAGCCTGCTCCCATCCTGTAACTCTTTCCAACACGGCAATTTTTGTTACACTTAGTACAAGAGTCCGAGAGTCATACACGGAATGGACAAGTTTGACTAACTATTCGAAGTTTCCGAGAGAGAACAGACACCGCCCCAGTCCGCATGTGCTAGTACAGTAGGTGCCCACGAAGAAGAGAGATTCACGATTTTCCCATCTAGCTTCACTGTCGTAGTAATGCCAAGCTCATGCTTATCTCACTTCCCACAACACCTTGTTTCAAGCTCAAATCTCATCATGAGCATAACTAGGAACAGTACCCATTTCATCACTACGGCAATTATACGATAGTCACAACACAGAACCACCGTTATTAAGGAAGCTGGCCCATTTCCAATAACTTAAGAATTTCATAATATTTGGAGTAAGTGTAGGATTCTAGGTGTTTTTACCCAATTTGGCTCAAAAATGGACTTTATTTAAATATTTGTTAGAATTTTATAAATATTCTTTTTGAATCAAATGCCAATCTAATTCCAACTAGTAGTGGCTTAGAAAATAAAAAATCATTCTTTTATGAAATTGAAAAGCATGGCATTTAATTATGCTATCAAGCTTCATCTAAATCCATACTACCTATGGATTTAATGAATTGAAGAAGCAACTGGAATTCAAACATCTAGTTATAAGTAATTGATGATTTTTTAGTGGGATTTTTGAAATCATTATTCTTTGTTTTTGCTCATCTTCAAACCTTGATTCACACATCTTCCATCTTTTGGCTGTGCTCTAACGGTTCCCTTAAGACCTCTCTTTGCCATTGAGTTGTATATGCTAAGGATATGGTATCAAAATATGTAGCAAACTTTTGAGGTTTGGGTAGATGGGCAACTATTATAATTGTAGCATACATTATATAGGGATAACATGATATTGAAACTATCTTCCAAACAAAAAATGAATGTCATTCATGAATTGCAAGCCATATATTGAAGGTCGCAATGAAATGTAATACTACAAGCCATATGTTGGAAGGAATAGTGAAATATAAATTGGCCTTATTATGTGTGTTAGAAATTGCAATGAAGTACTTAATTACAAGTTGTAGGGTGGAAGGTGCAATGAAATGCAAATTAGTCTTCTTATGTGTATTGGAGATTACAGTAAAGTGGCTGATTGTAAACCATTTGCTAAATCAATGCATGGCAATGATGAGGATGTATATTGCAAATCAATACATATCAAGCTTGTATCTTGTATTCAATCCAAATCTAGTGACTATGTATACTAAATAAGACGCACCAAATTTTGTCCTCTCTTTACACTCCATATTAAAATCTTAGTGCCAAATTATCCACATGGTCTCTATAACCCTCTTTCACTATTATACTTCATACCAAAATGTTGGTATTGAATCATCTTGATAGTCTTTACAACTTTCTTTGCAACCTGCTATACGTAAGCCTTTACATATAAGACTTGTAATTGTGCATGAAGAACTGAATATTGTGTCTTCACCTCTGCCTCTTTGCATGTAGCTTCTTGCTCTTGTACCTTATAAGCACATTCTTTTGTTATAGTGTCTTGTTCCCTAGCCTTGTAAGTGCGCTCTTCTATTACAACTTTTTAGTCTACAACCTTACAAACTTGTTCTTCTACCACTAAAATAGAATGAACTTCTCTTGAAATTCTCGTCTCCTTTAGATCTATCAATCTTTTTTATTTTTTTTCTTTTTGTCAAATTCACATTTTTTTTCTTTTATATTTAAGATTTAATTCTTAGATTTATTATATATTATTCATATATGCTTCTAAAATTAATATTAATAATTTTGAAAAATCTATTATAAGATCTACATTGCATTTCTTTAGGTTGGATTTTTTTATGATTATGAGTAATGTTAAGAAAGAAGGTATGGATTTTGAGATTTAATCCGCCATTTCTTTTGCCAACTCCAAATCTAACATATTTGCATCAACAAAAAAATAATCAATGGTGGAACTTGGAACCAACTCTAATTCTGCTATAATATCATGAACCAACAATGCAAGAACATCTTTATTAACCAATTCCATACTCCTACCTTCATTCTTTGCAAAATTTCCAAGCATGAAATTTCTTATCCAACTATTAAGGATAAGAACTTAAAAAAGATACATAAAAAAGTAAAAAATTAATCAAAGAGAGATCACAAACTAAAAATAATATATATATATATATATATATATATATTTATTTATTAAGAAACTAGAATGGCTATTGTTAAAGGCTAAAAAACTAAAGACTCTTGAAATTACACTAGAAGCAAGAAAAGAGTATACAAGAGTGAAAAAAGCTTCATTCTTACCTATAGATATATATATATATATATATATCTATATATTATCTATATAAGAGCTATGTGACTATATCCTATAGAATCTCCAATAGGTGTCTAATTTGTAAGACACATGTCTCAACTTGTATGGCAAGTTTTCTATATGTATGCCACTTCGTTAGCTTATACCACAAGCTATCAATACATGTAACATGTAACTACTTTATTGCTTAAGTTTCTAACCTATCAATCAGCTATAAACATGTTTAAAGATGAAACCATGTCTATGAAGTTTTTAGAAAGCTTTTCTATAATAAATTATCAAATTAACTTATTTTTATATAGTTCTATTAACTCATATTATCTAAATATCTATAAATATGTTCATGATACTACCGTCCTTTCTAAAGATGAATTCTACAAGGAATGGTGATCATATGTTGAGGAAGTCCAAGATGCGACAAACTGTATTTGCCACATATTTTGATCGTTGTTTTTTTTGAAGGTAGTTGATAGGTGTCAAGGACAAAGACTCAATGAGGGAAAATATACACAAAAAGGCTATCTCGATATAATAAGTCAAAATATAAACAAGTATGTATATTAAAAGGAAATTGGAATGGCTATTGCCACAAGACAAGAAACTAAAGACTCTTGAACTTGGACTAGGAGCAAGAAAGGAGTTGACAAGAATGAAGAAGCCTTCACTCTTGTCTCTATATATACTATCTAACTAAGGGCTATGTGGTGACATTCTATAGGACCTCCAATATGTGTTGACTTTGTAGGACACATGCCTTGATTTACAAGGCAAGTTTTTCTACGTGTGGGCCACATAGTTAGCTTGATCTTCAACCTAACAACATGTGTGGCACATGGCCAACTTGTTGACCACGTTTCTAATCCAAAAAGTCAATTAAAGACACCTATGAAGTCAAAGCAGCATCTAGGAAGTTTCTAGGAAGCTTCTATATTAAATATTATAGAATTAACTTACTTTTATCTACTTTTACTTACTTCTACCTATTTCTATATGTAATTATTAGCTTATATGATTATGGCCATGACATTACCCCCCCCCTTTTAGAGACGAGTTCCACGAGGAGCGGTCATCATATGTTGAAGAAATCTATGATGCGACGAATTGTATTCGCCACATATTCTGATCTCTGTTCTCTTCGAAGATGATTGATAGGGCCTCTCAACCATCGGTAGTGTCCCATACCAGGGCGGGAAGACCACCCAGTTATTTGATCATTGTTGAAGCCTTCGTAACTTCCTTCGAATACAATATTTGGAACACCATCAGGAGTTGTTCCTACCTCTAGCAAAATCACCAAACATCAGGAGTCCCTTCCCAAATTGTGATACCAAATGCGTTGTATCTCACCATCTATTCCAGGAAGAACATGTTATTCTTGAAGATCTTCATCTCGATTGCGTCGTCTTGAAGGTTGTGACAATCGTAATGTCTCGTCGTAAGGTCAGCAAACGAAGGTTTTTGAGTTGAATCCGGTGGTTGTTGGCTCTCCATCTAATTAGCATCACAAATGCAAAGAAGTTACAAACAAGGATAGGAAATTGAATGTTATCTTGCCTCAATCTTGTCTCTTTTATAAGAGAGATTTTCATCTTGGTTTTGATGGATGTCGTTGATGAAAAACTTTGACTTTAGCTGATGCATTTGCTAGATTCCTGGATGGCTCCCATGTGCGTTCACTAATATCATATCCGTGCCAATGAACAAGATATTTCAGCTTATTTTGGCGCCGCCTTGAGTCTAATATCTCTTCCACCTCAAATTCTTCATTATTATCTATTTCTATAGGAGGCGGTGGCATTTGTCTTCTTCCTTGTATATCCACTATCTTATATGGTTCAAGAAGAGACACGTGGAATACAGGATGGATCTTCATTGACTCTGGTAGATGTAATCGATATGCAACTGGGTTGATCTGTTCAGAAACAGAAAAGAAGCCAAGCCTACGATAGTCCAACTTGTCACAAGATCGAGTAGTCTTGATATTGCGACGAAGTAGCCATACCTTATCACCCACGTTGAGTTGTGGTTGCTCCTTACGATATAGATCTGCATTTATCTTTTGTCGTTCTTGAGCTTCCTTCAATTGCGTCTTTATTATTGCATGTAACTCTGACAACCGATTTGCCATATCTTCTGCTGCAGGATTATCAACTTTTGAAAAATCAAAAGTATCAAGTCGTGGATGATAGCCATAATTGGTAAAGAAAGGTGTTTGTTGCGTGGAGGAATGTACCGTATTATTATAAGCAAACTCTGCCAATGGCAGAAGGTTTGTCCAATCATCTTGTTGGTAGTTGATGGTACACCTTAAATACTGTTCCAAGACTTGGTTTACGCGCTCTGTTTGTCCATCAGTTTGAGGATGGAAAGCTGAAGATAGCTTTATGTCCACTTTTAAAATCTTGAAAAGGGTCCTCCAAAATCTTGACACAAATTGAGTTCTCCTATCCGATATGATATCTTTAGGTAATCCATGATAGCGATAGATATTATCAATGAAAAGCTTAGCTGTTTCTTCACCTGTGATAGATTTTGTAC